TGCAGTGCGCCCCAAACAGCCCTTCCAGGAACGGAACGGCACCCCACCTGCCCCCGAGGCCCAGCGCGGCCGGGGGTAGCAGGGAAGCCCTTGCCACGGGTTCTACCTCCTGCCTCAGCGAAGAGGTTTAATTTTCTGACTGATTTTCTGAGGCTCTTCCACTGCCTGGGTGCTTACAGGTGGTCCTTTTCTCTTGCAGCAGAGCTACTGCCATGGCAACCCAAGTCCTGGGACAGTCTGGTGGGAGCAGCCTCTTTCCAGGCAGTGCTAATATTGGTATGGCATTGTCCAATGACATGTATGACTTACACGACCTTTCTAAAGCTGAGCTGGCAGCTCCTCAGCTTATTATGTTGGCCAATGTGGCCCTGACAGGAGAAGTCAATGGCAACTGTTGCGATTACCTGGTTGGAGAAGAGAGGCAAATGGCAGAACTGACGACGGTGGGGGACAGCAACTTCTCAGACAGCGATGGAGAGGGGGTGGAGGAAGCCCAGGCTGCAGAGAGTGACCGCGAGGCGCCTGAAAATGTGGAATTAAGCTCTCTTGAAGTTCCTAGTGTGGAAACCCAAGATGCAGCTGCTTGCCCCCCTCCTAAGACTCCCAGTGTGGACAAAGATGCCTCTTTGGAAGCACCGGGTACTCCAGAGAGCACGGAGGACAAGTGTAAGAGCTTGAAGAGCAAACCATTTCGATGTAAGCCTTGCCAGTACGAGGCAGAGTCTGAAAAGGAGTTTGTGCATCATATCAAGGTTCACAGTGCTAAGAAGTTCTTTGTGGAAGAAAATGCGGAAAAGCAAGCCCAGGTGAAGGATTCTGATTCTTGCAGTGCAGAAGAGGTGGATTTCTCTAAGGGCCCAATCCGTTGTGATCGTTGTGGCTATAACACTAACAGATACGATCACTATCTGGCTCACTTGAAGCACCACAACAAAGCAGGGGAAAATGAGAGAGTCTACAAGTGTACCATATGCACTTACACCACCGTCAGTGAATATCACTGGAAGAAACACCTAAGAAATCACTTTCCCAGGAAAGTGTATACCTGCTCTCAATGCTCCTATTTTTCAGACAGGAAGAACAATTATATTCAACATATTCGAACTCACACAGGTAAGTCTTTCTTCTTCTTTGATTTAAGCCTGGTAAGAGTGCTGAAAAACCGTGATGAGTGGAGCAGGCCAAGAGTCTTTATTTGCAGAGTTTGGTCCACCTCGATAAAGCTCTGTGCTCTTCTCTTGGTGCTACCAGCTTCTGGCCTCATGGAAGCCTGGATTTGATTTGGGCTCCAGTCTTCAGGCCTGGAGAACTGGGGCAATCTCTCAGTGTCAGAGGCCCAAGAGAAGATGAAGAGCTGTTTAGTAATTCTAGGCCAGTATTTTGTAGAGGGCATGACAGAGTGATTGTCAGAGTCTGCAACACAAAAGCCTGATGTACTGTGAAAGCAAAACAAGCAGGTTGACAAAAGGTGCCTAAATCGCAGAGGTAGTTTTGAAAATTATACCATCAGACTGAGCTGAAACTTGACTAAGCTGTGATTACAGAGAAGAAAGAGCTGATAGACACATGTAGAAGAGCCCTCCAGCACCTACAAAATCAGAGCTGGGTAGTGTTCTTAGTGAAGAAAATCCTCTTAATGTATGGGGGCTTCGGTTTTTTAAGGTCTGTGTCAGTACAGTAGCCAGAAGTAGACACAAACTTCTGTTGGCCTGTAGGAAGCCCTGAGAGAGGGAGTCTTTGGCCCGATTTCCTGTCTTCCTTTAACTTCAGTTCGTGCTCTCAGGGAAGGGCATGAGGCCCCTTTCTGCTCTGGTCTATACCAGGTGGAGTCGGAGGACCTGCAGCGGTGCTGCCCGCCTGCGAGCTGGGGCCGCAGGGGATTTAGGAAGCACCGTGCTTTGTGCCCAGCCTCTCGCACGGGGAGTACCCAGGACTCCTTTCTGGGAGGGAAAGTCGCAGATCCCTGGCCTCCTGACGCGGTGAGGTGCGGTTGCTTTGCCTCCAGATCCGTTTCGTGGAAGCGGGAGGGCAGCTCAGACCTTTCTTGCAGCTTCTCAGCTTCTCTTTCCACCTTGTCAAGGCTTTCCGGGGGGCGGGCAGACTGCTGGCCATCTCCTAGCGTGCTGACCTGGCTCCGTTCCCCCTTATCTGAGCGACGCACTGGGGAATTTCTCCTTTGAAGTCATGTTTTGTCACAGCAGTGACATGAATGGTCTGAAGGCTTCGGTTCAGTTGTCTGCAGCTGTCTGGAAGGGGAGGGCCGGCCGGGCTGGGCTTGAGCTCAAGCGTGCAGGGGTTTGTGTTTCGTCAGCGTGCTTTAGTATCTGCTTTGACGCGGTTGGAAGGGTCTGCTGGGAGTTTTAGTAATTTTCAGATGTATTCGTCTCTTAACAGTAGGCATGTACTGTGGCTTAGAGGAGACCATCAGTTTTAAATATCAGTCCCGTGTAGATACTTTCTTCCTAAACAAGTAAACGGAGATTATTGTGAGGGGTGTTTGTTAGAAAGATGCTGTGGCTTAGCCTCCCGTTTGGCTTCTTTGTGTGTGTTGGCAAGATAACAGGGAAGGAAGCAGGTAAAAATGACAACAGGAGAAAAACTAAATAAATCATCTGGGGATCTTATGGCCGAATGTGAGCCTGTGCTGTGGTGCCTGTCTCTTTTACACTTGTCTTGACATTAAATTCATCCTGACTGCTTTGTATGTGACATTAGGTCCCTTCCCAGACCCTGAAAGCTGTTGTGGAATTTTACAGGAACTAGCCATGAAAGCACGTTTGCTGTGGAATTGCTCGGTTATCACTGCATTTGACCAGATTAGCAGTGAACTGCGTTAAAATTTGGAAAACAAAACAAAAGTTTCAAGCATGTTGAACTATATAGGGTATTGTCTAGGTCCTGTTCTTTAAAACTAGTGGCACGATCAAGGTTTCTGGTTCTTTGTTTTGCCACATCTTTTCGTTGTTTTAATTAAGCTGAAATGAAGGCTTATGATTTCAGTAGGTTTTAGTCCACCCTGGTAGTTGTTTCTTTGCTAGCTCTTAACTAAAAAGTTGAGATCTTTCAGCCAGTTCTCACTTGATAAAAATATTTCAAATATTTTAGTAGACTGATTTAGGACTGTGCCTTGTTTCCTTTCACATCGAGTTTGTAGGGGAGAGTGTTAAAGGAAGAGAGAAAGAGTACCAGAAGAGCAAATAAACTACTGCCAGGTATATTTATACACCAGACTAAACATTTCTGCTGGTATTAGTGTCTAATCGACTGATTGCCTCACAAAAACCTCAAAAACAATCACAACTCACAAAAACACCCCCGAACAACACTTCCCCCCCAAAAAAAACCCCAATCCAAACAGGAAAAATACCTCCAGATATTTTAGAGTCAAAAGTTTCTGCAGACTCTTAACGTAACAGTACGGAATTTAATAAAAATTGTCTGAATGATACTAAAATATGTTTGGATTATAGTTTTAATTTAAAACTTAAAAACATTTGCTGGAAAAAAAGATGGGAGGGGTGGTACATACATACATAATTTTCTTCGTATTTTTTGTGTTCAAAAAGTTAAGAAGAAAGTTCAAATTGTTTCTTTGGTTTCCTGATTGCCAATAGGTTAAATAATTTTGGGTGCTTTTCTCTCTCTCCTGTTTTTTTGTATTCCACCTAACTTTTTCTGTGGGGGAAAATGCCTCCTTGCAGACAATTAGATTCTGCTGTGTTTGAGCCACCCAGTTTTCTGAAACACTGGCTGCACAGAGTGCAGTTTCACAGGATCAAACGTGCTGCTGCTGCTGGAAAAAGGCAGTCTCAGTTTTCTCCTGGTGTCCTGGGACTGGTTGATCCAGCTCACTGAAATGGCAGTAAAAGATTCCTTTCCTCTCCCCCAGGTTGGTGTCCTGCTGGTTAGTGAACTGAATCGACACACGGATGCCAGAGCACAGGGCCGGGAGCAGGGAAGGGCTGTGTGCTAGTGCCTTGCATGGTGTAGGTACTGTATTTTTGGGGACCAGAGGAAGGCGGGCAGAGGTTGTCTGCTTGCCTGTTCCTTGCACCCATGTTAGAAGGCAGCTGTCCGTGAACCCGGCCTGTAGTGGAAGATGCCTTGCAGCTTGTGACAGTACTTGTGTGGCAGGCTGCTGACAAATGTGGGGGACCTTGGGTGGAGGGGGGTGGTTTAAGGACGCTGCAGATGGTCATAAGCTTGTCAGCTGGGAAAGCTACATCTGGGAGAGCCTGTCTGTGGGCCAGGAGGGAGCCGCTGTCCCACCTTCTGCTGATGGGGCAGAAAGGACCCTTTGTATCAGGGACGGCTCTACCTGGGCTGGTTGGTGCTCGCTGGACGTGTTAGGCCAAGTTTTGACTTGATTTGCTCCATCAGCTCTCCACAGGGCTGATCCTGGAACTGTGCTACGCGCCAGACGGTGCAGCATTGTTCTCGTTTGTTTCCATGTTACTTGTTAGAAGCAATTTCTAGAAAAGCTTAATTGAAAATTGTCCGAAGGACTACAGAAAGACAATGTCTACTCTAGGCAGTTGCAGTGTTTGGTGCCTAGCTTGGGGCTGGATTTTTTTATTATTTTGGCTGTCACAGGGGATCATTCTCGCTTGCTGCTGTGCTGGAAGTTTGATGGAAACAGCTTCATTTTAAACAGACAAAACTTTTAATAGCACTACAAGGAAAGCTTTTTAGAGAGGCGATCTTAAACTTGTTGACTGATGTCAGTGTGCCTTTTCATTGGTATAGAGTTAAATGCTTGCTTAAACTTTTGCTAGTTTGGGGCTTATTCTTTTAAGTGTCTTGTGGGGAGGTTTTTTTTTGGTGGCTTCCTTGCATATAATGAGTTTGTAAAATTACAATAAAAATCCTTTCAGGAGTAGCATTTTATAAAGCAGCCCTTTACAATGTAGTCATGCATTTGATTCTCAAGTGGTAAGAACACATTTTAAATTAGCTGTCTTCACCATACTTTAAAGCTGGTATGTTTTGTTGCTGTACCCTATACAAAATAGCTGAAAGCCTTTTGCACATTCCTAATGGTGTAGGTTACTAAAGATGTGAAATTTCAGGTAGTGGGAAGAAGACATGACTGAATGTTCCAGCACCTTTGGCCGCATATTTTCAGACTGTAAGGAGTCATTTAAAAACAAACCTATTTCTTTATAACAAAAGGACTACCCCTCCCTTGTACATGACTTCATCTTATTGTGCATATTGCACCAATCTCCTACCTTGTTTTAACTGGAAAGGGGGGGGGTGTGTTTCTGGTTGTTAGGGTGAATTTACCTTCAAACTGCTGATCTAATCAAGAATGATAGCCGAAATGTTTGATGTGAGGAAGAAATGTGGGATTAGTCTGCATTACAAAGATTGCTTCTGCTGCTATTTTGGCGAAGGCCACAGTGGAGCCTCACATCACATACTGACAGATGAAGGCCTTGGCTGCTGCAGACAGAGCTACGCCTCTGAAAGTGAGCAAATAGCCTGTGTGGGGGGCTTTTGCTGGCATCCAGGTCTCAGTGATTTGTAGAGCACGTTGGTTGTATGCTCCAACTGATGTAGCAAAATGCTCTAGTCTTATTCTAAATAGGACTTGAATGAATTTTACAACTGAGTAACTCACTTTTCCCTTCCCATCTTCACTTCCCTCTTCTGTTGGGATATCCACCCTGGACTAAAACGTGTTTTTACAACTTGTGGTGGAGACAAGGCTGTGTAGATCTCTCAGCTGTGCTAGCAGTTGGGTGCAAACACCCCTGGAACTTATCTGGATCTGCCTAACAGATGTTAATTCTAAAACTGCCTGCCCTTATTTGAGGCTTGTCTTCACTTGAAAAGTACTTTCAAGCATCATTGTACTGGTAGTTACACAAGCTAAGTGTCTCTTGTGGAGACCTAATTTATGACAGGTTAGTTTCCATTGGGTCTCCAGAAACAATAACTGCAGGCAGATGGATCTGAGTCTTCAATACAGATGTTGCTGCTACACTCAAATTTTTGCTAGCAGCATAATTTTGAGCAGGACATCATGCTTTTCCATGCTTCCAGCTAATTTCACTCTGCCAGTAAAACTTTGGAAGGAGAGACCCAGTCTCTGTCTGTGCTTATGTTCTGGCAAATGCAGTTCCACGCTGGGTGGGTGGTTGCTCCCCATCTTATCCCAAGTCAAACGTGGAGGTTTCAGGTAAGGTGTTAAGTGAGGCAAGAACATACCTGGTTTCTCACAGAGTCTGTATCTTTTGTGCATCTTTTGAGTGCTGAGAGAAAGCACTGTAGGAAAGCCAGCTCTGAAGGTATCTGTCCTCACCACCTTTTGCCTGAGGTTACCATCTGAGCCCAGAAGGGCATGAGGATGTGCCTCTCTCATGCTCTGACACTTCACTGCCCTTTTTCACAAGGCATGACATGTTACACCAGTCCAGCTCAGGCACGTGCTTCTCACAGCATCCCTTGGCTGAGAGATAACGTGCCCTCAGACACAATTTGGAGATCTGTGAAGCCTCACACGTATGTCTCTGTAAGTGCATTTGGGAACCAGCAGTGTTTCAGTGACCAATTTGCTGTTTGCTTTTGCAGGAGAGCGACCCTATCAGTGTGCTATGTGTCCTTATTCCAGCTCTCAGAAGACCCATCTAACCCGGCACATGCGCACCCACTCAGGTTGGTAAGGGGTGGCAGCAGCATGACCTGGGAAGGGGGGTGGTTTATGGAACCTCAGCAGGGCTGGGGTTGGAAGGGACCTCTGGAGGTCATCTGCTTCAGCCACCCTGCTACCTAGAGCAGGCTGCCTGGTTCTGTGTGAGATGCCATCTCATCTAGCTTTAACTCCTGTTTAATGGGTTAAATATTTAAGGGTTGTCTTTACCTGCTAAGGAAATGCCAAGTGTCATTAATGAAAGGGATAACAGGGAGTATCTTTTTCTTTCCCTTTTACTTTCCAAGGTGTATTCTGAGGTTTGTAAGGCTGCTCTAGTAGTCCTAGTAATTGAGTAGCAAATAAAACATTGTCACAGCATAGGAACAGATTCTTGTCTTCTGTCAACTGCCATAACTCGGCTCAGATCAGTGGAGCTGGGAAAATTTTGAACAACTGAGAGTCTCCTCTGTGATATCTGTGATTTCCTCTCACCCAGGGCTTCTGAGCCCTTTGCTTAGTGTTACAGAAAGACATAAAATAGTGCCTGCTTATGGCAAGGAGCCACAGAGGAGAAAAAAGAAAACTCAGAGGGTGTTCACAAGCGGCTCAATCTTGTGGCGCTAAAAGCCAAATGCGTAATTCTCACTAGCCTTTATTTCCCATTAATGGTCATAAGCTGTGGTGTTACAAACATCTGCTCTCACTCTCCTGCAAATCTCTTTTTGAATGATTTAATAGTATTTTTTTTGTGAGCTCTAACAGCATAGGCATGCTAGAGATAAGTACAGTTGTCCTTTGTGACCCTTGCAAGGGGAGTTCCGGTAGATCTCAGCCTGTGCTTTTGGTTTGCTAATATCTGAACAGAACAGACCTAGATGAATTCCTAATCCTAGCAAACAGTAGTGAAAGTCTCCTGAATAGTAATTGTCTCAGTTTCAATAGATGAGGCTTTTAACTGAAACCAGAAGGCAGGCAATTTTAACTACAGTGGAGGGGGGGATTGGACGCATTAAAAATAGCCAGCTTTAAAATGACATGCCAGTATTTTGGTTTGAGAATTTTGTCAATGAAGTATTTTGCTTCCAGAAACAAAAATCATTTTTGGCTGAACCTGTGGGCTGAATGCAAATTTGCAAATGGTTTGGTCAATACTGAGCCTGGAAACCATTTTGAGAACATCTTGTTCTTCCTTTGTCCGTACAAGGGAGTCCCAAATCTGAAGGAGATGAGGAGTGGGATCTGCCCTTGGCGCTTGACTCGGAGGTCTGGGAGGGAGGGAGGGTGTGAGCTGTGCTAACAGAAGTGCCAGTGCACAGGGGACGGTGGCTGTCAGGGCTATGTTATTAATAGCTCTCACAACTCCTGCTGCATGTCTTGCTGCATTGCCCAGGCAGCCGAACCTTTTCTGTGGCAATTTCTGGGCTCCTGCAGTTCACAGGCTGCTGGCCTTTTAAGGCAAACGGGTGCTGGAGCTTTCTTCAAATGTCAGACAGCAAGGAACAGTGGTTTAGAGCCTGCTTCACAGCTGTATTCTGAGTCATCTTGGTACGTCTCCTTTCCTCTTGCGCAACAACCCCCCTGGATTTAGTAGAGGTGATGGACACAAACTTCTTCACCTACAACCTTTGGGTGACCCTGTTGCAGCTGCCTGTGCAGTTAGATCACCTTGTGCCCAAGTGTGTAAGAGAGAGGCTGTTCTTGTCCTTGGCATTGCCTAACAGGGAGCTGTTCCTTGAAGTGTAGGCAGTCAAGGTCCATACTCGTGAGAAGGATGAGCAGTGAAGCGCATCAAGCTTAAACTTGTGGAAAATGTCACCAGGAAGTGGGGGAAAAGGATCGAAAGGAAGGAAGGAAATCAAAGTAACCCTTTTTTAAATAGCAAAGAGGTTATTTTTAATAAATTAAAGAATAAAGAGATAGCCACTGGCAGATGTGAAATGATCTAGACTCTTAAACAAATGTCCCCATCCTTCATGCCAGGGAGGCAGCAGAGGCTTTATTTATAGAGTTTGTGAGGGTGTTGCAGCAACCAGTTTTGAGATGCTGGTTCAGAGCTCGGGTGCATCCCAAATTCCTCAGCTGCATTTGCACGTGCATAGATGTTTTCAAAGTGTTTCTGAACTCGAGTTGTTGCAACAGAAGTGTTTTTCCTGGTTGTTGTGATGCATAAGTGGGAAGGCACCTCTGCCGCAGCGGCACACGCTAAGCAGGGCGTTTCAGGAGCACTCCTGCAAGAGCTGTTGCACAACTGTCGACGCGGATTTCAGGAGTAACATGAGGGCTTTGGAGTGCAACTGGCTGGCTTGCCAAGAGCAGCCTGCAGCCAGTGCATCATGTGTTTGAGCCACTGTAACAGTGAACTGAATTATCAGAGGTAAAGATCATCAGAGCAGTGTGCCCCTTTCACGTGCTTTGGTTTTTGCTGGCTTCTTTCCCGCTCGTTTCCTCTTCAGTACAAACGTGAAATATGCTAAATCTGTGTAAAGTTGGACTTTTCTGAAACTTTTGTGTGAAACTGCTATTCATGAAATGTTACATTTCCATTTTTCTACAATGCATTCAATGGACCAGTTGGGTATGGATTCCATTTGCTTATATTACTGTAGAGAGATCTCTGCCGGTATGTATCCATAGCCAGAACCTGTGACGTTGTTACTGCTTGTTTGATTTTGGATCCCCTTCCTCCCAACCAACCCTCACCCCTTCTCTCTTTTTTTTTATTTTGTTTTTGGTGTCTTGTGAATGTGTTTGTGACTCGTGGATTTCTTCTGTTGACTTCACTTAATTTTAAAGGCGCATGGATAATTTTTTTTCCCCCCCCTGTTTGAGTTCATATTTCTGTATCTTTATTAGTGGGAATTGGTTGCTCCTCCATCCCTGCTTAATAATCACCATCCTTCCCTTCCACCCTTCCTTTCTTAGGTGAGAAGCCGTTCAAATGTGATCAGTGCAGCTATGTGGCCTCAAACCAGCATGAAGTAACTCGTCACGCAAGGCAGGTTCACAATGGGCCCAAGCCTCTGACTTGCCCACACTGTGACTACAAAACGGCTGACCGCAGCAATTTCAAAAAGCACGTTGAGCTCCACGTCAACCCGCGCCAGTTTCTCTGCCCTGTTTGTGATTATGCAGCATCTAAAAAATGTAACTTGCAGTATCACATCAAATCCAGGCATCCCGATTGTTCTGACATCACCATGGATGTTTCAAAGGTGAAGCTACGGACTAAAAAGAGCGAAGCTGACTTTTCTGAGGGGGTTCATGACAAAGCAGAAAAGGAGCAAACGAAAGGGGATGCGGCTGCAAAGAAAGCTGAGAAGGTTGTGAAAGTGGAGAAAAAAGATCATTTGGCAAAGGAGAAGAAGCCGACGAGCAATGTTTCTGCAGGCCAGGTGACAACCAGAAGTCGGAAATCGGCTTCAGAAAGCAAGGAGGTGGATATTAAAAGTGAGAAAAATACTGAGAAAACATGTAAAACAAAGAAGATCAAAAGAAAGGCAGAGGCTGAGGTAACTTCCTCAAAGGGAGAGCCTGCACATGATACCTCAGCAGTAACAAAAAAGAAAAAGAAAGTGGAAACTAAACCCAGAGACTGCCAGGAAGCTCAAAAAAGTGATGTACCAGAGGAGGAGCCTAAAAAGCAAAATTCCTGCCTCAAGAAAAACAGAAAAAAGAAAGCTCTGAAAAATAAGCACAGTAAGAAAGGCAGTAAACTCGATCAGGAGAAGATCGAGGAAGAAGAGATGCCAGATGAGTGTCCTGTCACTGAAGAAGATGGATGTGTGAAGCCTGACACTGAGGGCAGCGAACAGAAGGAGCAAGATCCCACCGATATGGTGGCATCAAACAATGATGCTGGTCACGTTCTCAAGAGGGAGAGCACTAATCCCAAAGGAAGCTGTATACAAAACCCAGAGCAGCTTTGTCTGCCAGCTCAGGATGCAAACACAGAAGCTGAGGCAGAGGACCAAGAAATGCCTGCTGCAGCAGCAGGAGAGAGCGAAGACACCGCTGGTGAAAAAGAGGAGGACAGAAAGGCGGACAGAGGGGAAGATGCTTGCTCTGAGGAACCTTCCCATGCAGTGCCTTCTGAAAAAAGCTTGGACGTGCCCATGGACGTGGTACCAGATTTGGTGCCCGAGAAGGAGTCAGAGGACACCTTTGTTGCAGAAACTGTGAGTAGCTCAGAGCCGATGGACCTGACCAAGACGTGCCTGCCAGCGCTGGAGCCAGCGGGAGATGCCGTTCCAGCGCCGGCCCCCCCAGAGGGCTCTACTCAAAGCCCCAAAGCAGCTCTGGCCTTACCATCTCCGGGGAACACGGCGGGGAACGAATCTCAGGAAGTGGATGAGGACGAGGGCATCCACAGCCACGAAGGCAGCGACATAAGTGACAACATATCAGAAGGAAGCGATGACTCGGGGCTGAACGGCGCTCGCTCCGTGCCGGAGGAGAGCAGCCCCAAGACCTCCTCGCAGGTGGCCACGGGCACTGTGGCTGCAGACACCACCGTGGCCAGGGAGGACTATGTGTGCATCTTCTGTGACCGCTCCTTCAAAAAGGAAGGGGAATACAGCAAGCACCTCAATAGGCACTTAGTCAACGTGTATTATCTTGAGAAAGCAACAAAAGGGCAGGAGTAGAAATAGCTGTGGTTCGGGGGGGATCTTCTTTTGTAAGATCTTACACAGCTTATGTACAGATATTGTAGATTTTTTTCTTTTTCCTGGAAGTATGGTTTGCTTTAGTGTCTACATTGGGGTTTTTTTTGTTTTGTTTAGGGTTGTTTGGGTTTTTTTTCCAAGTTGAAAATATTTTTGACAACTTTTTGTGTAATGGTGAACTTATTAACTATTGGATCTCTTCATCGGAGAAGGCAGGTAGGGTGTGTGAGGCTGTGTCCTGTAAAGTCATTGTAAGCTTCTAGTCTATTAGCTTATGCAGTTTTACAAACTGAGTTTTAGGAGCAAGACTGTAGCTAACAATACACAAGCTGGATGTTTATAGAGCTGTTAGCTGCTTTTTGTTCTAGCAGCCAGCTCCTTCTCTCTCTCCTCTCTTCCCTTCCCCCTTTTTGTTTTTCATTTTCGATGTGTGTTGACGTTCAAAGTGTTTAATTACTTGATGGTTTTTCTACCAGGAAGATAGCTTCTATTACATAAAGAGCACTTTGTAAAAGAAATCCAAGTTGGCTAGTGATGAACATACATAACTGTTTTAAGATAATTATAATTGTGAACATACATTTCAGATCCCCTAAGCGTGAACGGTGAGCCAAAATCTGGGAGTAGTCCTTCCAACTTTTGATTGGAGAACCTCTGTCTTGATTAATATCTTAATAACTATGATATGTAATTGGCTTTGTTGTGGGGGAGCAAGTTTGTTGTTTTTAATTTCTGCCTTTTTTTTTTTTTTATTGTGCTTTAAGGGCTTAAGATATTGCACATTGTTTTTGATTTTTACCTATGCAGTTGAATTCTTTAGGAATAGCGCTTGTGCAGTACATGTACACTTTATATATGCATGTTTGGTTTTGTTTGTGTAAGATTTTTATTTGGAAACATTCAGATTCGTTGCTTACCATGGGGCAGTTTTCTGTGATGCTCTTTACTGCAGATTTTTCTTGCTTTCCTGGGGTATTATTAAGTCGTGTGTGAAGTTGCTGAAATTATAAACTGCTTGGCTATGTTTTTGGATGGCTATAAAGTTGTATAGTTCTTGAGCAAAAGGATACCAGTGCAGTTTCAAAACACTATTTTACAGGATTTATCATGAAGGTTCCACTTCTGATACTTTGACTACATAAATAAATAAATTCTAATTTATAATTTGGGATCAACGGACAGGAAAAATGTACACTTTCAGTGGACATGGCTTACAGACTCTTCAAGTCCAGTTGATGGTTTTTTTTCCCCCTCTTCTGTGGAAAAGGGTGGACAACAATCAAACTTCATGAGTTCAGAAAAGAAACCCCAAACAGCAGCAGTGATTTAAGTATTCATCAAAATCTAACATTTCACACACCCAAAAAAAAAAAACACATAAAGATAGATCAACTGGTAAGCAACAAACCTGGCATTAAAAACTGTAGGAACTCCTGCTCCTTATTCATTCAAGTTGTGTTTATTAAAATCTTCCTGTCTCCATGCAGAGAAACATGTAACTGACCAGACTGTCATCTCAGGTCTACGTCTCATACCAGAAATGTTTAATTCCGAAGAGGTTTAATTTCTGGTACACAAAAAGATGAGAGTGATTGCATGCTTGCTGCTTGTAGTGAACCAGTGGCAAAATATAACAAAATCCAAACCAGCAGGGTAAAAAGCAAAACCCAGTCCCATCGCTGCGCTCTTCGCACTGTCATTAGCCACCACTCCAGTGGGAGCAGCTGGGAGCAGTTTCTCCGGTTGTCAAGACCAGAGAAGCAAATTTGGAGGCAGGTGTTCATTTGGAGAGTGGAGCTGAGGAGCTCAGACAGTATTTGTCAGAGCACTTTATGGCAGATACTCTCAATGTGAAGTCGGGGAATAAAATGTAGTCTTCCCTGCATGCTCCCACAGCACCTTCCCCTCCAAACAAACCCACTGCCTTGGATGAATAGAGAGCAACAGGACTACATTGCTTCTGCTTTTGGGAGAGGTCGGTAACAGGAGGCCAAAGATTTGAGAGGGAAGCCATCCCTCGTGGCAGAAATAAATAGTATAATGTATAGTGAGTTTTTGTTTGCTTAGATATTGTTCAGTCCTTACCTTGGCTGCGACAATCATTGTCAACTGAAGATCAAGTTGCAACTATATTTATGTTAAAACATTATGAAAATAAACCTAGTTGAATTGTTTTCCTAAACAACTGGTTGTAATAGTTTCAGATGTATTTTTTTTCTTCCTAATAGTGTTTCCTTTATATATATATATACATGTTGACACCATTTGTGAAGCAGATGCTGGGAATCCCAGTTCTGTGTAGAGGTTTTATAGTTCCCCCCCATATCCTTGTGAAGAGCCTTTGCCATCTTGTGAGAGACTTCAAGGACTTCAGCAACGTTCAAATAAACTTGTGGACCGGCCTGATCATTTTTCTGGTTTGTTTTTAAAATGAAGATAATGGTGTTAACTGACTTTAAATCTCTCTCCGTGAGATGAAAACAAAGATACAGTTCTCCCAACATTGTGCTGCACATTTCTGTGAAGTGTTCAAGGTTTCAGTGCTTGATCTGACAAGAACTCTGAAGACAACAGTTGGCTCCCGTTCAACAGCGTTTCATACCACAAGATTACAAACTGAAATTATTAACAAATTAAGAAGAAGAAAAGTTGTTTTTTTTTCTATCTGAGAATACCATCAACTGAGACCCATCAACAACGTCCTGAAATATCTGATGTTGGTGCAGAACTGTGTTAGAATTCTCAGCTTGGTCGAGAGCGAGGTCTGCGAGTCTGTTATGGTAAAGGGGCAAGGATGTAGTGCATTATGTATACCTAAAATGTTAGAAATTGCTAATATTGAGTATTTGAGGGGGTGCAGGTCAGGTAACCCACCATATACAGTGGTCTTATGTTGCTGTGTCTCCCTTTAAACAATCCCTTTTTTTAAATTTTTTTGTCTTTTTCAATATTCTTAAATTATTTTGTGTTTGTTTTTTTTTTTTTTCCAGTGCTAGCATTTTTGTGTTTCTTGGCAATAATACCTGTACAAGTGCTCAACCTCCACTGTGTGGTGGGAAGGGTGAGCACACTGATAGCCCTGCACTGCCAGCCCTTGGTTGAGCAACGTGATGTTTTGGGCTTTTGCTGTATGAGTCTGTACACTCAAAGTAACTGCCCTGAGAAGTGCTCTAGAAAGTGGGTAGCTAGGCATTAATAATCCATGGTATTGTAATTGCTATTTCTGGATTTTGATGATTTAGGCTGGAATTTTAGTCGTTTAAAGAAGAATGTTTAACAACTGACAGGCCAGTTAAGATCTGGTAACGTCATTGATCTCAACAGATTTAATGTAGCTGAAAGGTATTAAATCAAATTCAGGAGTTTTCTTTACGTCAGTTGTGTAGATATGTGGCGTGCATACAATATTAACAGAATCCAAACAGCTAATGGAATTGTTTTATGTGTACATATATTTTTTCCCCCTCTAAAATTACACTAGCTAACAAACTTTTGTAAGCTGGCATGGAAACTTGTTTATGATGTTTAGTTGCACCATGTTTGATGCTTTTACAGTGCAATACTTGTATTCTCTGAATTAAACCAAAGGTAATTTTTTTTCATGCTCTCTCTACTGTAGTGCATGACAGTCTTTTCTACGTTTGTAATAGATGTAAAACAAGCCAGATCATACATCCTGTTTTTATCTAAAACATGTATAAGGAATCTTTTGTCCAAAATGTAGTATAAAGTTAAACTAAATTGCCTTATATTAACCCTTACAAGTGTATTTTCCTAAGCATAGTTATGATTAAATAAACTTTATTAAGGAACTTGCAGCTTCTATCTCCCACTTATTCACGGCTGTCAAGGCCATTTGTGACTGACTAAAGGCAGGAGCAGCACCAGCACCGTTGACCAGGTTCTTCAAAACCTCAAGCCAGCACAGTGTGGTGGAGCCAGCAGATAGATGCCACGTGACACACAGACTGGACTGCTGACAGGGACACTGGCTCCAGAAATAGGTTCTTTTTCTATTTCAGCGTTCTGTATTTATTTCCCTGCCTGCTTCAGTGAGGGCAGGGCACAAGGTGGGAGATGCATGTGTCTGGATGAGGTTCAGTCTTAGTGCTGGACCTGTTTGTGACTCTGCAGGACAGCCTTGACGGGCGTGAAGGACACATTCCCTGCCACACAAGAAACACAACTTGATGGCAGCTATGGAATTAAGTTCCAGAGGTAATGCAGGTGGCAATTCCTCCTGCATTCCAAGGGTCTCTCGTGCTGTCTTATGTGGGGGATTAACAGTAGGTTTATAAAAATGAGGTCACCCATCATCCCTATGGCTACAATACTGTCCATTTAGGTACTTGAAAATGTCTTGAGAGCTGTGGAGTTGATACAGCCTGGAAGTGTGACTTTTCATCTCTGCCAGCCTGACCCTTTAAGAAAAGCTGGGCTGGATTAGCCCATGGTGCTAGTCTGCCTTCTGGGGCTTGGTCACTCCTACTAATGCTACCCAGAACGTGGCCTCAGCAGGGTGGCAGGGGCTGC